ACTCTATAATCAAGGTGCATGTACATGTACTTACAGCAAAACTTGCACCAACTGGTCTTCTTAGCCACTTAGGTGGTTGTTTCAGCAGCACAGGTTCAGCTTTGGTTTCCACTTGCTGTGAGGCAGGTTGTACAAATGGTTCTGCACCAGGGAAAGACTCGGCAATCTACACAAGACATAATTTAGGAATTAATCTAGTTCTTGCAAACACAGACACAGAGCCAACTGGTAAGTTCTGATACATGTGAGAATAGAAATTATAAACCACTTGGCCAGCTGCATGACAACAAATTAAATTAAGAGTACAACTGAGTATTTGTAAGGTACTTTGTAACCAGGTTATGTGAATTTTGTTGTTTGTCACATGAACACGTCGAATGAACAGGAGCCGAAAATGAAATAAAAATAAAATTTTATTTCAGCGTAATTTCTCGCGCCCGCCGATTTGTAAGTGCGAAAAATTGTTAAAACAAACTTATTTTTATCTTCATTTTTTTTTTCGCCTGCCGCATAACAAACCCAAGTTGCAATTTCATGGGAGTATCATGATCATGAAACAAGGTTATACAATTTTATTTCATTTCTTCTCTCCGATCAATGATCTCACTTACAATTCTTTGAGAATCACACAAATCTAATGGGGAAAAAAGAATTAATTTTATTTATTTTTTTTTTCCTCAAAAAAATTGCTTTATAAAACCTTAAGAAACAAGGAATAAAAAAAGTCTGGCCTTAATGTGAGAACAGATTCATTTGTTTTCTTTTTTGTTGTTTTTTGTTTTTCTTTGATAACACTGAGTTATCAACGTTTACATTGCACATTTGTTGTACACTGCACTGTGCATTGATCCACATTCTGTTATGTACAAGTTACAATTCATAAGACGCACCATTTTTGCACTCTCAACATGGAGGGCGATTGCTCCCAGCATGCTTCACTCACACCCCTCTGCCACGCATGGATTGTATAATAATACATGCAGAAATGGCACCAATAATTTTCTTCTGCACTTGCTCTGGCCCTGAATATTTGCATACCTAAAACCATAGCATGGTAAATCCATGTCTGGCAGAGGTACATGTGTATGAAGCATGCAGGAAGCAAATGTCCACAGTGTGGAGAGTGTCATTTTTGTCTATAGAGAAATACTAACTTTATCTTTCTGCAGTTGTTGTTTCTGTTGCACTGGCTGGCCGCCGCCCATCAACGAATACACACTGATATGACCATCAAATGAAGACGTGGAAATAACAGCAGGATTTCTTGGACACCAAAGAACGTCAAAACACCACTGTGTGGATGTGGGTAATTCATATACGACTTCACCGCCAGACACTGCACTATTTGGATTCCAACACAGTATACGATTGTCTTTTGCACAACTGAGCAAGAGATCAGGATCCTGCGGACACCAAGCGACAGCGAGTACACCCCTGAAATACACAATACACAATCAGGTGTCGCAATATTTTAGTCGGTGCCTTCAGTAGCTCTTTAAAGTCACATGCAATCTTTATTTTATTCCAATACCTCTCATCAGTAATGACAAATTTGACTAATTGTTGGAATTCCATTTTGACTCAAGACCCCCCCCCCAAAAAAAAGTAATTTGCATATATCAACAGTGACTTTCAAAAAAACGACAAGACTTTTAATCATATACTCATGGCACAGTTCCCTATATTTTTAAAATTACTATTTGAGCATATTCCACTACTGACAGAGCTCCAAAATGTTAACAGTCTCTAGCAAAGACTGAGTAAGAAAAAGCAAAATAAAAAAAATTCACTGCAAGTGCCTATGAACCTGCATCTATACCTTTTACCACCAGTTCCCTCTTTTCATTGCAAATTCACAAAATAGTCCCATTTATAATCTGCCCTTTCCTTCAGAAGATTGGTTCAAAAATGTCTGTTGGCACCAAAATTAGGGTTCATTTCCAGAATTATTGAAGGATATAAAAAGTGCAGAAAAATATGGGTGAGAAATTTCTGATAGTGAAAAGGCTAAGAAAGACTATTGCCTTGATACCCAAAAAGTTTTCCCTGGTGTCCTTTATTTTTAAATTACAGACATTCTCCATTTTATTCCCACAAGCAATTAGATCTAACTTGACCTTGATCTAAAAATCAAGCCCTGAATAGAAGGTTACCATTAATGATAAAAGTGGCAATAAATAGGGAAGAAAATATTGCAAACGTATTTGAAGTGGACTTACCGTTGATGATTTTCCAAAGTCTTTAGTGGAGACGTTGCGAATCGCAAGTCCCACATTTGTATGACTGGTGAATGATCGTCTTCTGATGCCAGTACCATTTGGGTTGCTACATCAGGATGCCAAGCGACCGCTTTACATCGTATCTGATATAAACAAACAATGTCAAGTAAATACCATATGAAATGATATCATGCAAGACAACATCTCAGAGATAAAACTGGCACTGGCAATGTCTCATAGCCAATGCACAACCACTTTTTCATAGGGCAAAACTTAAAACAAAAATTAAAATAAATACAAATTCACACTATAGTTGTTGTTTTTGCAAAGTCAGATCCTAACATGATTTAACAGGCACTCCAGGCACCAACATTTAATGATCTTCTCCACAGCAAGTCTTGTAAGTCTTGGGACAGCAAGTTACATGTAACAAACATTTGTTTTGACAAAGCAGATTTGACCATCACTAAAAAAAATTGCATACTTTTCAGTCCTGTAAAACCCCAGAAGCTTGTTTAAAATACTGTTTTTTAAGATATTAAGATATTGACAGAATGAAGAGTACTATTCAAATTATAGGTCAACTGCTTTGGTCAAAACCAAAGTGGTGGAAAATTAGTGAGCAAGTTAGGTAACTTGTTACCCCAATACTTCTGAGACTTGCCGTAACAAAATTCACAACAAGTGATGTAAGCAGCTATCATACAGAATCTACCCACTGTTTAAATCAAAGCCATGTGAGGTTTAACACATGGTGAATAACAAAGAAGATTTTACCCTGGGGTTTCACTCAGCCAAATTTGTTGAATCAGCCATATCAACAAAATCATTTGCTAATCAATATATGAATGCATGGAAAGTTGCGAAAATTTGTTACAAAGTTGCAAAGTGAGGTAGAAATTACAGGGACAAACATTTTCATGTAGACAGCAGTGTATCAGGGTACTTTTAGACCGCTTGATTGCTCTAAGACATTTTGAACTTTAACACAAGTATCTTTGAAGATCCAGATTAAAACATTTCAGCTCACTTGGCTTGACATTTCACAAATATTCTACTAAAACTTACTCTCGAACTGTGATCAGTAACTTTGATAATTGGTTCATTTTTACGGAGATCCCACACCACAGATCGTCCACCAGGACTGGTAGATGCTAGAATATGCTGTACTTGTTGGTTCCAAGCAAGACAACTGATGTCATCAGGAGGCTGTAATCAAATAATCAATGATAAGCATAAACATTCAGAATGCTTTACCCTTTATCAGTGACTTTGAAAAAGTGCATATATTTTATTTTATATAATACTATGCTTTCTATGTCATTAGTAAATATTCTTGTAAAACCATTGTCAGTCATTGATTTCAACACTTGTATGGACTTACTATGCATACTCTTGTAATAAGCAAAAACTGCTATAAAATTCAATATTTATACCAACTCGTGAAAATGCATTGCTTGCACATCCAAAAACACACAAATAGTAAAGATATGTTCAACATTTGTTTTGCCACGCAATCAGTAGACTTTGTGTAAGATGAGGAACACCAGGCACCAACATTTCATTTAACACCAGGCACCAACATTTCATTTAGCACCAGGCACCAACATTTCATTAAACACCAGGCACCAACATTTCATTTAGCACCAGGCACCAACATTTCATTTAACACCAGGCACTAACATTTCATTTAACACCAGGCACCAACATTTCATTTAACACCAGACACCAACATTTCATTTAACACCAGGCACCAACATTTCATTTAGCATGTTACATGTGATACATTTATAAACTTTCCTTACCTGAGATTTGGCACCAGGGGTCATTGGATTAACTGGATTATTTAAATCCCAGATATATATTTCTGAATCACTAGCTCCTGAAGCCAGGAGATTGGGCTGAAATGGATTGATATCTAAGGCGCGCACTGCACCTGTATGCTGAAAGTAAAACAAATGACCGACTTAGTGATCAGGCCACAGGAATATGCATGTCATGTTTGAAATACCTATTCCCCCATATGCCCATAGCATGCAACTTTCCAGACTGGCTGGTGAAAATTAAAAATTAATGTCTGGTGGTTGAGAAAAATGTGTTCATAGTTTGCTTCAACAACTATTTTGAAAATGCAATTTTACCTGAAATAAAGTTGAACGCCATTCTTCTGACAGTGAAACTGGAACCTCACAATTTAAATTTATCCATTTTGTGTGTCGGCACATTGTTTTAATGTACTTTTGTGTTTATTACTCTTTGGATACCCCCATTCATTCTTGAAACAATATAAAACTTGCTCATAGAAAACCCTGTTTTTACTAATGCACCCTCCTTCTAGAAGTCCAAGAGTAGACTGAGTTTCTTATTTCTAAGTTTTAATGAGTAAAACTTCCCCAAAGTGATAAACCCCAAAATTTATTTATCAAAGAAGAAATCCCAACATAGAATACCAATTCTTGATTATACGAACTGTGCTACTGGACAAAATATGCCCCTCCCCTTATTCAAACCAGTAAAGCAAGTAGGTACCGATTTGCTTTAAAAGTTCCTATGCAGTTACTATGCAAGCAGTTAAACAGACACAAGAAGATTACAAGCAATTTTACCTTGTCTGTTTTGGTTATGTATCCATCTTCATTTTCTAATAACTTGGAAACATCATACAGAATTACGTTACCATTATCAACACCGCCGATTAGAACACCATTTGTGTAACTATTGTCATCCATTCCATGGCTACTCCAGACTATTTTATCAAACCTTGGATAAAACAGAATAATTAAGTTAGGATCTGGACATTTGCATATTGAATGTAAATATTGAATTCCATACAGCTTAATTGTAACGACTGTAACTTTGCTAGCATCATTAGGTTTGTGTGTGTGGGGGTAAAAAAAAAGAATACTGGCCTTTTAGTATGTAAATTATACTGATTTGACAAATTATACAAATTAATTAAGAAAATCTGTGTTTCAGCTAACCCATTTCTAGTCACTAATAGCGAATTTTGATTAGATTTGGCTACCATTAATAATGCCACTTTCGCACAGAACTACACATGTAATGGCATAGCGGTGGTCTTATGGATGACTCATAAAGGTCACACATCCTGGCACTTTTGGGGGAATTGTTCTAATTTCCAATATTCTACCTTAATTGTCACCATGTTAAAACTGCATGCATTTTTTTGGAAGAGCATTTCCAAAATTTTCATTCATAGTAAATTATTTTTCTAACAAGTCATTGTCAATGACACGTCCCCGTTCCGTTCATATTTGAGTGACATATACATTCAAAGCAGATCATGACCGAAATGCACCTGCATATGTACAACACATTGTGCTAAATCTGAACAAATCATCATGCATGACTGAGATCGTTCTGATGTGAA